GATTTCAAATATAAACATTGGCTACCAGAAATCCCTCACTCTGCCTTTAAGTGGTTATCAGAAGAGGGAGAAGCGATTAGTCAACAGAAGAGACGGATGGCCACGCGTGAGTGTTTTGCTTAATACTTTGTTTGGAGATCTGTTGTTTAAATTATTACTTGCTGCTAGGAAGGAATATTTCGTTGTCTACATATTTCTACTTTGTTTTTTCGTTGTAGTTTGTATTTTTGATTGCACTAATTACCGTCGGCTAAGACGGAGCCTGTGTTATTTGCATTGCTCTCTTCCTGCACTTAAGTGCGAACTGTAGTTTCGATTTGAGCAATTGCCCTGCTATAGGCTATTGGTTGTGCTAATTAAAAGGCGGCCACAGCTGTTTTCACTGTAGTCTCTTAGACTGTGTATGTCTTTGATGTCGCGGAAGCGTCAGCGGAAGCGTTTTTAGCCCTTGTGTTCAGCCTCCTCGGTGAAGACTGGCGACTTTACCTACGTGACTTCACCGAGCAATGAAACCGGCAATGCACTTAAGTACTAGTATCTTCCCTTTACACACTCTCCTTTTCTGTCCTCTCTTCTCCTCCTCTATCATGTGTTTCCAAAACATTCCAGTTGTCTCTCGACAACACTCTAACGTCACACGCAGACGGCAACGCAATCTTGCTAACCTGCATCCTATCTCCTATCTCTACATCCTCTACTGCACCTCTTTCTCTGTGGGTCTCTGGAATTGTCAGTCAGCTGTCAACAAAGCAGACTTCATTTCTGCTTTTTCTTTGCAATCCACACTCAGCATCTTGGGCTTGACTGAGACCTGGATTTTTCCAGAAGACTCAGCAACCAGCTGCTCTATCTAACAATTTCTCTTTCTCTCATACCCCCCGTCAGGTTGGCCGGGGTGGGGGCACTGGTCTGCTCATTTCAAACAATTGGAAATACTCAACACACTCTCCCCTATGCAATTATAACTCATTTGAATCTCATGTGGTTACTGTAACAGCTCCTATACAACTCCAGGTTGTGGTAATTTACGGCACCTTCCTAGAGGAGCTGGATGGGTTGCTGTCCTCATTCCCGGAGGATGGCAGTCCACTTTTCTTCTTTTATAGAACAACAAACTGGACGCTAACCAGTCAGGTTTCAGGAGTAGCCATTCAACTGAGACTGCGCTACTGTCAGTCACGGAAGCCCTGCGGATTGCAAAAGCTGATTCCAAATCATCAGTTCTTATTCTGCTGGATCTATCTGCTGCTTTTGACACTGTCAATCATCAGATCTTCCTGTCCACCCTCTCATCACTGGGCATCACAGGGATTCCTCTTCACTAGATTGAATCCTATCTCACTGGTAGGTCTTTCAGGGTGGCTTGGGGAGGGGAGGTATCCAAAGCACATCAACTGGTCACTGGGGTTCCTCAAGGATCAGTTCTTGGACCCTCCTCTTCTCCATATACACTACATCACTTCTTGTCCAGGCCCTTGTCATTTCTAGGCTGGACTACTGCAGTGCTCTTCTGGCTGGACTTCCATCAAGCACAATCAAACCTCTACAAATGATTCAGAATGCAGCAGTATGACTGGTCTTCAACGAGCCCAAAAGAGCCCATGTTACACCTCTCTTTATCTCCTCGCACTGGCTACCTGTTGCGGCTCGCCTCAAGTTCAAGACATTGATGCTTGCATATAGAACAGCCACAGGCTCAGCACCCATCTACTTCCACTCACTATTACGAATCTACATCCCCTCCAGAAGTCTGAGATCCGCTAGTGAGCGATGCCTCGTGGTACCATCACAGAGAGGCTCAAAATCACTTTCCAGAACATTCTCGTTCACCATTCCTGGCTGGTGGAATGATCTTCCCATCCATATCCGGAATGCTGAATCCCTGACAGTTTTCAAGCGACAGCTGAAAACTCATCTCTTTCGACGCTGACTTCATCCTAAATTTAAAAAAAAAAAAACGTGCCTTTTTATTTATTTCTTATGCCTGAAACTTGGTATTACGAGCACTTCCTGTTTCTGTTTGCCTCTTTAAAGGTGGGGTAAGTGATTTCTGGTAGCCAATGTTGACATTTGAAATCACCAAAACAACCCCTACCCCAAAAGGGTCTCGCCCCTATTTTGATAGCTCCGCCCCACACATACGTACGCAACCCAGGCAATGATTAGTTCGGTGAAACAAAGCAAAACCAATGTTACACCGTGTCTACAGTTTTTCTGTCAATATGGGGTGCTGTGTGTACATTGAGGAAAAAAAATTAACTTAAATGATTTTAGCAAATGGCTGCAATATAACAAAGAGTGAAAAATTTAAGGGGGTCTGAATACTTTCCGTACCCACTGTATATATCTATGGTCTACACTGGATGCGGTGCGACACGACACGACACGACAAATCCCCGACAGAAAACTGCTGCTGCGTTCTATTCATGACGTATTGACACAAATTTCAAATGATTTTCAACGGTCGCTTTGTCGTGTCCAGTGTACTAGACAGACTTTAGCTGTTGCGGTGCAGACACGGTGTTACTCACCTATGGAGAAGAAACAAAGTAACCTCGGCGTCCGTTCGCAGGTCTTCCGCTCCTTGAGTTTTCTCCAGCGCTGGAAAACTGATCCGATATTTACACGGGTCCTACTTCTTGCCTTATTGCCTTAAGCCTTCTTTTGTTCCGCAGACGGTTTCCTCTATTGTTTTTTTATCCGCCATCTCTATCTTTCTGTCGCTCGGCTCGCTAATGTCCGTCCCATGCACTGAACCCTCTCTCCTCCACATCATGAGTAGACACGCCCCTTCTGCTGATTGGCTACAAGTTTGTTTTGCTAGTCGGCCCAAATCGGTTTTCTAAAGTGTTTTTGAAAAATCGCATACCCCATTTTTAAGAAGAATCACTTTATGTATTCCCCAATTGTAAGTCACTTTGGATAAAAGCATCTGCAAAATAACTGAATGTAAATGTAAACTAAGACTACAAGTGTTGGGAGATTGATAGAAATTTTTTAATTGCTATGGCAGACTTATTTAAAAAAAAAAAACATTTAACTACTAACTTTTAAATTACTTAATTAAAAAATAAACATTAAAATAAATTACTGTGAGAAATTGAATTCTTGTTTCTAGTGCTGTCAAACGATTAACGATTAACGATCTTCATAATATATGTGTTCTGTGTATATTTATTATGTATATATAAATACACACACATACAGTATATATTTTGAAAATAGTTACATGTATTTACATGTCTATATTTATATTCATATAATTTGTATTATAAATAAATATATTTAATATATAAACCTAACATATTTTTCTGAAATATATACATGCGTTTGTGTGTATTTATATATACATAATAAATATACACAGCACACATACATATACTGTATTATGTAAACAAAAACGTTTATTTTGGATGTGATTAATCATTTGACAGCACTACTTGTTTCTAAATGTTAAAATTAATTTAATTGATTCAAATTCATAATCTAATTAATTACATGATGTGCCCATTAATTAATAAGATTAATTGCTTATTGAGTCTTATTGAGTGAGTGAGTGAGTGAGTCATTCAATCATCCATTCAACTGATTCGTTCAAACAGCTGATTCATTCCGAAATGAAGCAAGTGACTGTCTCTGGCTGCGTTCCACTCCACTTTCAGACATGCACTCGAGAACGTCCCTAAGCACTTCCCCTCGGGGCAATCTCTGCTGCCATTTTGAAGTGCGTTCCACTTCATTAAGTGGTGGAGGGAAGTTTATATGGACAGACCCTCAATCCCTCGATTTTGACAGAGGGAGTGAGTTTGCTTCATATGCTCACTTCAGGCCGCTCCATAGCACACACATACAGTATATATTTTGAAAATAGTTACATGTATTTACATGTCTATATTTATATTCATATAATTTGTATTATAAATAAATATATTTAATATATAAACCTAACATATTTTTCTGAAATATATACATGCGTTTGTGTGTATTTATATATACATAATAAATATACACAGCACACATACATATACTGTATTATGTAAACAAAAACGTTTATTTTGGATGTGATTAATCATTTGACAGCACTACTTGTTTCTAAATGTTAAAATTAATTTAATTGATTCAAATTCATAATCTAATTAATTACATGATGTGCCCATTAATTAATAAGATTAATTGCTTATTGAGTCTTATTGAGTGAGTGAGTGAGTGAGTCATTCAATCATCCATTCAACTGATTCGTTCAAACAGCTGATTCATTCCGAAATGAAGCAAGTGACTGTCTCTGGCTGCGTTCCACTCCACTTTCAGACATGCACTCGAGAACGTCCCTAAGCACTTCCCCTCGGGGCAATCTCTGCTGCCATTTTGAAGTGCGTTCCACTTCATTAAGTGGTGGAGGGAAGTTTATATGGACAGACCCTCAATCCCTCGATTTTGACAGAGGGAGTGAGTTTGCTTCATATGCTCACTTCAGGCCGCTCCATAGACCACAATGCAACACGTTTATGATGTCATCGCAGATCGCGTTTAAATTATCCCCATCTTTGTAAAGGAAAAAATAAATAAATAACAAATCAACTCCATAGCGGATTCTAAGTGATCAAGGGCTTAGGATGTTCCAATTCAGCCCATTCCAAGGGTTCCACCAGAAGCGGGCTGAATAACTGGCTCACTTAATTCTTTAAAAAATGTGGATTCATTTAGTAAGAAAACACGCTGTGTGTTCAAGTCAAGTCACCGTTATTTATATAGCACTTTTCACAATGCGGATTGTGTCAAAGCAGCTTTACAGTATTAAAAAAGGGAAATAGTGTGTCGAAATAGTGTTGCTTGAAAAGGCATGACAGTTCTGCTGTGGCTTTGTTTAGAACCGTTTTAATTGGTGAAATTGAGCAAAAATTACAATACTGGCAATATTGTGTTTCAAATGTAACACAATGGCTGTCCATAGATTATTTAGTATCGGAGTTCAGTGGCACTGATTCTGTGTGGGCCTGGTATGACAGTACGATCGTTGATCTTTACACATAGTTTGTTTTCTCTTCATCAGCAAACACTGTGTGTGACCCTGTGATTGAGGAGCATTTCCGCCGCAGTCTTGGGAAGATCTATAAGGAGCCAGCGCCTGTCTCTAACTCAGTGAGCATCACAGACTCAGTTGATGACCACTTCACTAAAGCACTGGGGGATGCCTGGTTACAGATCAAAGCCAAAGGCAATGGTGGTACAACACCAAATCATGAGAGTCAATGATAAACTAAACCACAAACATAAACCCTGTGAGGTTAGCTCACTACAGAAGTTTACTTAAGAAGACCAGAAGCATTCAGCATTTTTCATGTGAAATATTCTCATGCGAATTCAGTTTGATCTTATTGAAGCATGCATGACCAGGGGTTGAGATTTTTTTTTCTTCAGAATAAAGATGCATATCAAAATAGTGAAGATAAGTAAACAGACAGAACAAAGAAACAAATGTCAAACAAATAAAATAAACACTGCTTAAAGTTTCTGTGGTAGGTCTAGCTAACAGTAGTGTTAAAGTAATAAATACTACAAAATTAGAATAATATAATGTTAAAAACTGTATAATCTCTACTCTAGGGGTTAATCATAGATTCATTATTAAAGCTTTAAAAGTGACTCTAAAGTTCAATAACACTAAAGACTGCATTTTGACATGTTTGTATGTATTTGACCAGTTAGATATGCACCTGAATTAAGTATACATACATTGCTTGTCTGTGCGATAAATTGAGTACTACGTTGAGTTTTTTTTACATCTTATTGAGCTATAAATAAAAAAACGTCATGCTATTTATATTATTCATATGTATGCACAGAACCTGTGCTCTTCCCAGGTTCTGTGCATGACTTTAAAACTGTAATAGACTGTATCTGTTTTTGATTTTCATTATGCTCTTCACTCAGATTATCTTTATTTTTGTCGTTGACATTATCAAGATAAGCAACTGCTGGGACAGTGTGTTCGATATTTTTCTAACCCTTTTCATGAGATGTGTAAGCAATGATCAACAAAACTAAATCTAGCATAGTGTTAATATTAATGTAAGTGTTACTAATTCAGATGCTGTGGGAGTTACTGTAAATTTGGAATCTGTCTCTTTGGATTGCCATAATCCTTCTTTGTAATCCACTTTTATGGAAAGTCATGGGAACGCAATAGTGGACTTTTTTATTTGTTGTTGGAACAACAACATTAAATAATTTGTTATTGTTTCCCATGTAGGTTTACCCAGCTACAATTAACTACCATGCTGTGGAAATGTAAAAAGGGTCCATACGTGACTAAATGATTATGTGAACACTTACTGATTTGCATATACCAATACCAATGAATATATTTAATTAAATTGCACGTTGACCTGAACATGAGTATCCACTGTCTCTATGTTCCAGCGTATTGCCTTCAGTGAGTTGTTTGTCATTGTTTTTTTATTATTATTATTAGTCGACTTTTTGTAACCAGAACTAAATTTAAATTAGGTAGGTGTTTGTGTGTGGTGTCATAATGCAGGATACATACTAAATGATTTAATTTCCTTATCTTTTATCTTTTTTTCCCTCTGTTCAAGTTTCAGAATGTAAAATATGACAATCATTACGCTGTGCGTGATGAATAAATATATAGTTACTCATAGTTAAACTATCTGCCATTAACTGTTGCAGTATGCTCTTCTTTCTTCCTTGTAATGTGCCTGGTGAATATTAATTTAGATGTAATACATGCAAATAAGTTGAGCCATCTTACTATGCTAAACTGAAAGCTGTTTAGTGGTGAATTGAACAAAGTCTCATGAGTGTCCCGTTTGACATGGGTAAAGCATTTTTATGGAATTTTAAAAATAACTAAATGAAATGGTAATATAACTAATTTTGAAATGACGGTGGCTGTGCCGTTACATTCAAGTGCTGTACTTCTTTGGGGGAAAAAAGGAAAGAAAAGAAAAAGAAAAACTATAAATGTAATTTGATTTGTAACTTTGTAACTTTATTTTTTCTTAAAATGACCATTTTCGTATTTTTTTATACATCAAATAAAGTCACCTCAAAATAAATAACGTTTTCTGGATCTTTTTTCTGCACTCACATTAGATATAGGCTCAATAACAGAATCCTCTTATAGGATGTAATTTTGTATTGTAATAACACAAAAATGTTACATTTATTTAAGTTTACATTCAAAGGCATCACTATTATTACCAATAACCTATGAATAAAACTTCTTAAATGTGAACTGTAATGTCAGTTTTTTTAGCAGGTGAAACATTTATTAATGTTACATGAACAGCCCACACATATGCCGTAAAAATAAAATCTATTTAATATGAAAAGTAATCATAAGTTGCGCAAGTGAAAGCAACTTGGACATGGGTGCGCACTTGTTTGTGAAGTAAAGTAAGCTGCATGCTTTTTAGCCGTAACAAAGCACCCGTAGGGGTTTGATGATTTACCTTGGATATGAGCGAGAGTGAGCTTGTAGAGGAGCAAATGAATGGCTCGCAATCTACTTTCTTTTCAAAAGAGCCCATAAGAGAACAAAGAGAAAAAAGAGAACACACAGTAATCACAGGTGTTGCTCACTTTGCTGTCCATAATAACAAATTAATAATAATAATAATAATAAAACACACCATGGCTGTCAAAATGTGAGGCATGTCAGGCAATTACTTTGCTGGAAGCATTTGCTTACAAAACACAACATTTTGGACAGACTTCAGGGCAGCATAATGGTTTGAAGATTTACAACAAAATAGAGCTTTGGTGATAGCTAAGTGAATATTTACTACAATATTAATTTCTTGCTAGAAATGTGGAAAAAACCTATATTTTGTCACGCCCATGGACTGTCCTTGTGTTCCTGTGTTGTGTTTTGTTCTCCATGTGCTCCCCGTGACCCAGTTTCTCTGATTGTGCTAATTTGATTCAGGTGTGTCTCATCTGTTACCCCTCGTTGAGTTCCTGGTACTTAAGCCCTGTGTTTTCCTGTGTCCTGGGTCCAGTGTTAAACATCAATTCCCCGTGTTACATGTGTGTGCCTTCCTGTGAGTCTTTGTTGTGGATTAATAAAGACTGTTATTCGTGAAACCTCAATGTCTCCTTCGCTCCCACACAGTAGGCAGATTGTTACACATTTACATTTAGTCATTTAGCAGACACTTTTATCCAAAGCGACTTACAAATGAGGACATGTTACATGTGTGTGCCTTCCTGTGAGTCTTTGTTGTGGATTAATAAAGACTGTTATTCGTGAAACCCCAATGTCTCCTTCGCTCCCACACAGTAGGCAGATTGTTACACATTTACATTTACATTTAGTCATTTAGCAGACACTTTTATCCAAAGCGACTTACAAATGAGGACAATAAAAGCAGTCAAAACTAACAAAAGAGCAACAATATATAAGTACAAATGACAAGTCTCGGTTAGCCTAACGCAGTACACGTAGTAAGGTGTGTATATATATTATACACACACAAAGAAAAACAAGTAGATAGAATAGAAAAAATAGAAAGCTAGTGTTTAAAAAAAAAAGATAACACTTACAAACTGACCACCAGCTGCAACTTGCAGACTTTTTTAGCTCAACTGTTATGGAATTGAATGCACAGGTTTGTAGGATATCGAAGGCAGCAGATGAAACATCTATGCTACCATTTATGCTACATTCTGTTTTCTATCACTTGTCTTGCATGTTTGTGATGACATAAGAAGAATACAAATGTGCCTGGTTTTAATGAAATCAAGTGAGTGTGAAACCAAACCAATGCTGCAGGGGCTTGAATCTGTGTATATATATATCCTTTTAATAAACATATCCTTTTGAGATATAAATTATAATACATTTTAATAAAACACAAGACTACATTATATAACTAACAGTAGGCTATTTAATATCTGCTGTTCTCCGGTTGTCAGTCAGAATGACAGTTCTTGCGTGAACATTATAGGCCTATATATACCCAAGCCAATTTATTATCCCTTCCTTTTTGTCTTAGTGTTTAAAATATTTATTTTGAAACAAATTAATTAATTTCTTAATTAAACAAACAAACAGACTTACTGGGTGAGCAGGGTAGGCTATGACAGCTGTCATGTCATACCTTGCCATGCCCAGCTGATGCAAAGAATAGAATTTATATCTACACAGAAGAAATCCCTGTCTAGACTCTGCCCCAGTACGAGTTGTGTCGAGCTATTCATTAGCCTGTTTGATGAGAAAAATATGAAATTGATAAAATGGGTTATTAATCCGTACAACTGCAGCAGTGGAGGACTATTATTCTGCTGCGTGATACTGCAGAAGAACTGATGACGGCACAGTTTGATCTTCGGCTGACCAATCAGCAGAAAGGGGCATTTAATTCCCGCCCACATGTAGAAATCGAATATTCAAGCTGTTTATTCATTTTTCCACCCATGAACGAAAAACTAAAATGTAAGCTGAATTCTCGTTTTTCGTGTTTTGGAAAAAAAGCCGTTTTCTCATTTTTCTATTTTCAATATTAAATCAAAAAACGAATGATACACGGATTGGCTTGGACCATAGCAAACATTTCCAATGTGAAACCCCACTAAATTAAACATAATTTTTTAAATGGAAGATTGGCTAGGAGGGTGCTGTACCAATGAGCAGTGTTGAGAAGGTTACTTTGGAAATGTAATAGGTTACAGATTACAAGTTACCCAACTAGTGTAACTTCTTAATTACTTTATTAAAGTAATGTAACTGATTACATTTGATTATGTTTTGATTACTTTTCTAAATTTCTAAATGTTTTCAACTGTTAATCATTTTCAAACATGTAAAGCAGGCAGGGTTAACCTTACAGTAGTACCCAACACTGATTACTGTCAGACTTTTGTCAGATTACCTTCATATCTTGAATTAAGATTATAATATTTTAATTTTAAAGGAGACATTGAATGCAAAGTTCACTTTTACATGGTGTTTGCATATGTATCTTAGCACAACCACCCTAAAATGATAAAAATCCATTCACTCCTTTTTTTAATCCCCTAAAAACCTAAACAGTCTCAATTATCAAGCCATTTAGATTTTCTGAGCAGTATGATATCATATTGCTCAGGCCCCACCCACAACCGCTGAAGTACTGTCCAGTATTATCATATTTTCACCCTCAGCCAGTTGTACAAAGTCCATCATTTTCTCTGTGCTTGAACAGCTGTAGCGACAATATCTTTATAAGCAATGCAGGTGTTTTGTAGTTTTGTGATGTAGAAGAACATAAGAATCTTAATTTTCTCCCGACATTAGAGCCACTGAGGACACAGTGCATTAGTTTTGTTTTTGATGGTAATGCGCCACCGAATACACCTACATTTGTTTGTCTGCGCAAATCATTTTACTCCAGACTGCTTTCTGAACTAGGTTTTGTTAAAAAGTTCAAACTCAAGGTTAGATCAGTACCTGTTGTTCGTGATCCAGATGCACCTCCAGAAGATGTAAGTCTCACACTTTATATTTTTATGATTATTTGCAAATCGCCTTTGCTCTTCCATGGAAGAGAGGGATGGGGTGAGCAGAGCTCATTAGCATTTAAAGAGATATGCACCGAAACGAGTCGCTGTGTCGTTGAAACGAATTGGGTGTTGTTTTACATGACCACTGAGACATTTTAACCAAATTATGTTGCAGACATTTTATGAAGACCCTAAAGAATCATACCAACTTGTGGAAAATACTGGTCTCGTAATGTATTGCATACCTTGTCAGTGTCGTGCGCTTTGCTTGGCCATTTGTTGTGATAAACAGGAAAGTGTGTTCAAGC